ATCTTTGGACCATTTGCGGTTCTTTTGTCTTTTTACTGTTAGTAGTTCGTGACTGGTCAACAGTTAGATGACAGCGATCGAATCTTCGAACAAGCTTCTTTGTTTAGATCTTTTTATATAACTGATAATATTGAAACTTTATAATATGAGGAATTTATAATATAACTTTATAATATGAACAGTAATAATTAGAAGAGATGTCCAAGTTGTTGCTGTTTAGTCAGAGTTTGCATTGGACACGTCAAAGCACAAACTAGAACTAAATTTCACATGTTAGATTCAGCAATCTAACCAAGACCTATTCCCATCGCAACTAGTCAAATAATTGATTATAAAATAAAGGTAAACAAGTGAGACGATAAATTCTTCTTATTGGAAACGGGAACGAAAGGAAAGACAAAATTTATAAAACCGTTCAATCGGATAACATACGGATTGATAAAGTTAAATGAGCAAAAGGAAATGCAGAATTTTAAATGGAATATTAAATCCGATCATTTGAACTGTCGCGGAATGTTTAGTATTAAACGAGGGCGTTGAATAAATTAGGAGGAGTAATATTTGTATTAACATCAATTTTCAAAATTAATAAAGTAAATTCTTGTCAATTTTATTATTTAAATAAACCTATAGTTCGATTATTTGTAATATCACTTTTTATATTGAAGCGACGAAATAGAAAGCAGCTGACGTATTCGAATTGCAATTGATACTCTAAGGGCGCATCGATATCGCATAATAAATATACACGGTGTGCGCTTTATGACGTAAAATATTAACTCGGGTCGAATGGAAGCGTGCACGAAGAAACAAGCAGTAATTTAAGCTTGCGCGCAACAATAAAGAATGGGATCGACGCACCGCACAGGAGTAGATTTCAATTTGTACGAACGTTTTCTGACAGATCCAATTGCGCAATTCCGGCCACGTCCTACTGCTCTGAAATAATAATCGATGATAACAATCGACCGGCAGCTGCCGCGGAACAGGGACAGATAGGACCGAATCGACCCAGAAATGTGAAAGCGTAACAGAATTTGGCGTTAACCAATTGAAACGATGCTGGCCGCGTTAAACCGAGCCGGTTACAAAACAAATTGACTGGCTTTCGAGTTCGCAATCTTCTACGGGCAGAGGGGCGGGGGATTATCCAATTCGACGTTGAAACATTAGTAATCGAATGCGATGTCGGCAGCTGTTATTGACAGGTACATCAATTACTTTGCGCGATGTCTGGGCTTTCATAGACTACCGCGAAAAAAATCGGAGCCGAAGGTGAATTTATTTCATTCACCAAGTGATTCATACCATTCGAAATGAAATGCGAACTTCATTAATATTAAAGTTGGTCTTGAGTATCGAAAATTATCGAAAATTACCGGTCTATTCGCTATGTTTTCATTAATATTGAAGCTGAGTTTTAGTTTAATAACAATATATTGAATTATTTATTGTGGTACAATTAAATGTTCGAGAAAATTTTCCTCGAAGTCGATATTTTAGAGAAATAATGTTTCAGAATTTTTGCTTAGCTTTTTGTATAGTATATTTCTTTTCTTAGTTGTACTAGTTACAGGACATATTTTGCGTAATTTTGCATAGAACTTGTAGTTCTATGTATTAATTTGGCATAGATTTTTGTGTAGAGCTTGTCCAACGAGTTTCTAAAAAATACTGAAATTGAAGCATATTATCATCTGTTATCATAATTCATTTCGAAAGGAAGACTTGGAACTATGAATACATCAGCATTTAGAAGCAAATCTTAACAAGGGAACTGACGTTGTTCAAACAAAATACGAAAGTCATAAGATAATAGTAAACCGTTCGTTGCAAAATGCCTAATAAAGAATGACTCATAGTTTCCGGTGAAAATATCGAATGACGCAGCGAACAAGACAGATCGCTGGATCGTAGGTAACCAGAATATTTTTCAGGCAGCAGATGGCACCCGGAAACGCTTAAAAATACGGCAGTCCCGCGAAAAGATACGGAAAATGAACGCGAACGGCGCCAAACGTTCCATCATCGTCAGATATCTAAACTAATGTTTACCGGCGCGATGCTCTTGCAAAATAAATGATGTGACGCGCATCCGACGCACGGACATTGGGAAAAACAGATCGATTCACGTTTCGATCGGAGATCATTGTCAATCACGGGATCAAATGCGTTCTTTCGGCGTGCATATAGACGATAAATAGTCGGCATTCACGTGTTTAAGTTTCTCTAGATATTTATCCGATTTTGATAAAAACAATGGCGTCAGGCATCAGGCGCGTGACGAGCTCCGATGACGCAAAGAGAGAAAGATCCCTCTTCGCGGGATTAGCGCACCTGCTATGATTAAACAAGACCGAAGAGATCGACCAAACACGACGATAATTTATTTTCTTTTACGTTTTCTCGTTTCGTATACGGTTCCAGTTTGTTTTATTTTATTTTTAGGCGAGTTCGCCTATTCTCGGCTCGCGTAAGCGGGACCCGAAAGATTACAAGGCCGTTTCGATCGGCGGTATTACCGTCGAAGACCGTCTATATAAAGACTGGCGGTTTCTTTCTAATAATTCTTTCTAATGATTCTTGCTGCATTAGACTATAGTAGTTAGCTATGAATGTTAAGAATGATTGAAATTCACAGGAGATTATATAGTAGCGATATATGGTGATCTACGATTTTGAATTATTCCTTTTTGTTAATCAGTTTTATGTGATATTGATTGTTTTTGTGAGTAATTATACATTATCTTCTCGATCGAAGTTTGTACGAAGTGAAGTATGAAAATTGGTAATCGTGTTATCAAAACCGTATGATTTATAGCGTATGACGTCCGTATGGAGTGTTGAAAACAAATAATCCTTAGAACCACGGTAGATACAAGAAAAAGATTCTGATAAAGTTATTTCAATTTCCGATTAGAATTGGGAGGACAATTGAATTATAGATTTTTGTTTCACGAAATTAATCAATTCAACCAATTTTTTAATTTATCGTTTCAATTCTGTTTCTCGTTATATCTTTCGTTGTTTATCTACTTACTCTGGAACCAGGTAAAATAATGAATTATAATGATTAATTAACACATCGAACGCTGCTTGATTTCACGAAGCAAAATACACAAAAGGAAAACGTATAATGTTTATAAAATTATTTAATCGAATTCAGCTATAATTCCTGTCGGTTCATCTTGCTAAATGACAACGCAGTAGGCAGCATCATATATAATATAGAAACGTTTTCAAATAATCATCGTTTAATTGAGTGAATAATTATAGTAATTCGATTTGGTTGGGGCTCACCGGTGATTCCCATGACATTCTACGTATCAATAATTATAACATTCGGTTATACACGCATGAAGTATGCAGCAATATGTGTTAATCGAAAATTACAAACATGTCTCCATTCGAATTTTATTAACTATATCAATTTCCTATAAAAATACACATTTACATACGTACCTACAGTCTACCAATCATTCAATGAAATACAAAATGGAATAATAAAATTAATGAAACAGAAAGTTCCCATTAACACGTTGACTGCCATGAGGGTCACCGTTGACCCCCAACCAAATTGAATTACTATAATTCACTCAATTAAACGACGATTGTTTGGAAACATTTCTATATTACAAATAATGCTACTTAATTTCGTGACATTTAGCTAGGAGAACGTGCAATAATAACAATGCAATTCAATCAAATGATTTAATATTATATTTTTTTTTTTGTGTATTTTGCCCTATGAAATCGTGCAGCATTCAACGTGTTAAACGAGGAATCATGAACTTTGCGTGCGAACGTTCTTCGGTCGTATTGATTGAGCATGTGCACAGAACACGCGTGGGCGTTTACCTCACGAAATGTGTCGCTTTATCGAGCGATTATAAGAGATACAAATGAACATACGTAGTATAGTACACAGAATGACCGTAGTACTTCATATTATCCGGCGCTGTACGTAAGCTTACCATGAAAGGGTTCACTTTATCAATGGCAGGGAATACTGAACGAAATGTGTAGCGAACGTAGGTATGAAAGACATCTGCAGCCGGTAAGCCGCAACCTGCAGGAATTTGCACTGTCACGTCGATAAACAAAAACTAAGCAACACACTCGAAATGGATACCATGTATTTCTATGGGATAGTAGAAATCTTGGGACGAACCCCGTTCCTTTTTTTTACTGTACGATCCGTTACACATCCGATCGGAAAATATTAATAAAACGTGTCCTTCACGAACGAAACAGCGCATGGGTCTGGTGGACTTACAGAAATAACACTATTTGTATTTGAATCGTCAGGAATAGCTCTGTGACGTGCGAAACATTGATATCATACCAAATGGCATTGACGTCGTTACGTGAATGGATTCTTTGGTTGTTTATAATGTAGCTGCTTCGACAAATATATCAGACATAATATTTCAGTAAATATTGGATGAAATAATATATCATTTTCTTCCTCTTTTGGTGTAATTCGTGCCCGTGCGAGACACTAATCCATGAAACGCGTTCGATCGCTATTAAAGTCACTAATTAGTATTTCATTGAAACTTTTTAATTATTATTAACATTTAATCATTATTTAGAAACATTTGAATACTGGCGACAGAAGGTATTTTCATATATAAAGTAAAAATATGGAAAGATAAATAATTTGTATTCTGCGATACTATTGATATAATAAAATTTATAGAAAATACACTTTTCATTTCCTCGGTATTTCCTCAGTTCATGGTAGGAAAGAATGAAGTAAAAATATTTGATAAAAGTTCCACTTGTATTGCATCAATTATGACTAGTAGCAAGATCTTAAAAATTTATATTATAAAATACGAAATATCGTACCCCTCTCGAGATTCATTACCGAGTATAATAAATGATAGTTTCTTTTGTATGGACCATAATAATTAATATTCTATGCTAATTCAATTGAAGACGATTATATTAAAATCAGATTCAACGTGGACAGTGATAAAGAAGACAAACAATACCTTTCTTTTTGCTGCATCTGCTTCAGCATAATATCTGCGAGCGGATCGGCAGGCGGTCTTTCCCCCAGAAGTCTCTGCCGATCCAAATCGCCCTGCATCTGTGCAAACGCGTGTTCGCCGATGTTTACAGATGTTTCTAATTGCGTAGACAATTCTACGCTCTCGTCGCCTGCAATAAAAGAAATCATAAGTTTATGCGCGTCTTTTTCATCGTAGCATTCCATTTATTATGAAATATTCGGTATAACGCACTATAATTACAGAAAATCGGAATTTCAATTATCGTGATAAACTTACTGTTATTATTTGGTATAACATATAAAATATATTTTAAAAAGCAATGGAAAACAAGATCAACAGAGACATTAAATATTTTCATGAAGATTCAGAATTTTCAACAAAATTTCAGTACATTCTATATTAACCCTTAGATGAGCAACCAGGTAAATAACTAGCTATTCACTTTGAAATCTTTTTCACTACAATTGGTTACCTTCTCGTGAAAATTCGACTAAATTGCTTAGGATTCCTATTTCTTGACCCCCTTTACAATGTTCTGCGCTGTGAGAATAAAAGATTTATGCAAAAATATTGTAATACTGAAGTTCGTAGAAACTCATAAGGATGAAGAAATTAAATTTCTTCGAAATAGAGCATCATTGCGATAAGAAATAACGAATACTATAAAGAACGTATTTATTCGAGTCATTTGAGAACGTATACAGAATTTTACTCAAGAATATAGTGAACGGACTTGTAACTGCATCTAATTTTGAAGTATAATTACATTGTGAACCATTACCGTGCAAAGCGTGTTGAGGATTGTCGATGATTCTGATTTGTCGGTCAGGAAGCAGGGGTTCTCCGTCCATACCGCCAATGTCGCTCGGCAGCTGCCAACAGGCATTGTCTTGCTCTGCTAAATTTCTCGGGAAATAGAGTGGAAGAAGGACTTCGTAGATACCGAGATCGCACGGCTCCAGGACGAACACGATGCACGTTATAGAGTCGCCGTACTGTTCCAGAAATCTTCTTATTGTTCCTGCAATTGCGAAAAGTAGAGACGTATATTGAGGCTATTAGGTTGGTCAATTGTAACGAATGAATTAATTCATTTATATGTAAAATGATATGCACTCACTTAGAGCGATATGCGCTCCGGCATCAGGGGGATAATTTCTTCGCACCGAATTAATTACTGGCAGCGCTATTGTACGTAGCCCAAGCTCTCGTGCTTTTTGCAGAACGTTTCTGCAACAAAAGTATGCTGTAGTAAATGTGTCATGGAGAGAAATATATTTTATTGTATACAGAACTCACCTGTAGCAACAGTGTAACGTGTTCTGGGCAGCTGTCTGGTATTTCACGTTGTAGACTGGTCCAACAGTGTGGATAATAAAACGAGCTGGCAATCCGTGCCCCTGTGTCACTCGAATTTCACCAGTTTTGCACTCTATAAATTATATTTCTATGTAACGTAATCCTTTACGAGTATGTTACTTATTCGACACACGATCATATTTTAATCCTTTGCATTCGAGAGGTGTCTCTCAGTCACCATTCGATTTGATACAGCAAAACTATGAAGTAGAATATTTATTATTCTAAATTAAACTTTGTATTACTACGTGAAATATTTAACTAAAATAGCTTTGTCGCTTAATTTATCTGTGAATTATCGTTAAATTAGTTTCAAACAATGTCGTCTGTATTTCGTCGAAAAATGTTGAATATTTCCAGTGAGAAACTTCCGAGTACAAAGGGTTAATTATTCAGAATGCTGCCAAGATTTCAATGACAAAAATTCACTGCCAGAATTCAAATTTTTCTACAGCTATTCGCTCGATTAAATACTTAATTCCGTATTTCCATTTGTACCTTTTACTTCGTTAAATATTTCCATCTTCAGCGGTGAACCAGCCCCAGCAAATATTCTTTGGCACATAGGACTGTTGTCATCCATAGTTTCGTTGGTCGAGTTCACCACCGCGTCCACTTGCAAAACGGAAATGTCTCCGGTCCTGGAACGGTAATTTCGTTACAAGGCCCTCCGAAAAATATACAATCGTCGAATTAAGTAAGTATAAGAAAGCAGTTATTGTAATACGCTCATTTTAAAGTAAACAAAAGAATCAGTCATAGTGATCATAGTAATAAGTGAAAAATGGTACTCTCGAGAGGAAAGTGATTATTCAGCGAATAATGAAATGGATTAGAATAAAAATGGCACAAATATCATAAATCAGTGTGCACTGCTTAAATTAATTAACAAACACTATCCTCAATAAATGCTAGCCTTCTTTATTTAAAAAAATCATTTCCAAGTAATCACGAGCAAACTATCTTCAGTTCGTTTTAGATGTTTCCTCTCATTGTATTTCCCTTAGACTTATTTCGCATTACCATAGCGTAAGTTTGTTGTTGAGCGCCGGCTGGCATGGAAATGGGCTGATGGTGTGATGCGATGGTTCTCCAATTGAATTGGTGTAGTCTGTGAATCTGTGCTGGACAGGGAAGTCGGACCATCTTTTCAATGCGCCCGTCTCCACCACGTCCTGGGCGACACCCAAGGGTTCCATGAGCCTCATTCAGCTGAAACAAACAGTTTTCAGTCATTCGCAGTCGAATAATTTCCTCTAATCAAGGAAACGGGAAACTATCAAAAAACCTCCGTCCCGCGTCCTCCATATTACACGAGTGTCTTAATCTCGCTTTTGTGCTGACAATCCGGAAAGGACGTTAACATTAAAACTACCGCACCCGTCAGAATAACAGGTCTCAGTGTTCTTATTTCGTGATTATTAGTATCCTAAAAGCGTGAAATATTCGAAACGATTTGAAAAATAAATGGTTTCGCTCAATTACTATAATCAATATACGAAGAAACCGAAAATCTATTACAATTTTCAAAAGGATTGTAAATTAACCCCTCGTCTTACTATGTCGCGTCAGACTCGTGATTTAAAATATTCTTTAACAAACATAAATGTCATTCAGTTCTGTTTAAAATGGATCATATTTCTTGTTAGTAACTTGCACGACTTTAAATAAATTTAGACATACAGAAGTAATAGAATTTTTCATTTTGTACATTATTAACGATAGGTAGTTCCAACCGATACAACTGCGAGATTAAATCGTACGGAAACGGGTTAATCGCGTAAAAGTTGTGTAGTTCTAGCGTTAAAGAAATTAATGGCAATGAACATAAAATATTCAATGCGTGTTCTATAATCTTTCTTCATCCTTTCCCATTGTTCCACGTGCACTCCAACATCTGCGTACTTCGATATCTGCGCACGCGCTAGTCGAAATGGCGCGCGATTCGATCCGCACCCCCGATTCCAGGGACTTCCGGCGTCACGGAGAATCAATTTCGGGACGACACGTCGCACATTCGGGAACGTTCAGGGGTATTGCACGGTCCGAGGAAGTCGTAAACAACATTCTTAGTTGTACGCGGCCGGGAGAGGAGATATCGACTTTAACGGGATCGTAAAACCCCGAAAGAGACCAAGGACAACTTGGCAGCGACGAGTATTACGGACGACATAGCTGCTGACGCGAACTACCCCCAATATCGCGGAAACTTAAAAATAAACAATTCCATCGATGGAAATCTGGGGCGCACCCCGGGCGAACGGGAACATCGGCCGTACAAGGACGCAACCCCGATCGGAAAGAGGTTTCGAAAAAACAATATATACACGGTGGCCACGATGTAACGGTCTTGAGATGAGCAATTTCTTTTCTATTCGAGTTTACTTTGAGGCGGTCAAGTTAACAGTAAAGTTATTGGTGACCAACATTTGGATACATTAATTATTACTTAATAATACTTCACAATGGACAATGTTATTTGTTGATGTGGAGGTTATTTCAGTGAATTTTGGTTGTTTATTTTAAGTTTTGTTCGAGTAATCGATGCGATAATTTGTGAATTCATTTGGACCAATGTTGGCACGATTGGGAAGAAGTGTATGTTTAAGTTGAATACGCATTCAAGCTGTTGGCGTTGAATTAACTCGTGTTTTCGATGGAAAAATGTATGAATTAGAACGATTTTAAATAAATGATTTAGTTTTAGGTGAAATTAATTGAAATAGGAATTGAGGCTGATAGTTGCGGATATTAGTTTTGTGATTTGGAAATATAAAGTTGTGTTGGCTGTGTCCTTAAAATATGAGGTCAGTCGTGCAACTTCAGGGAGTATTCTGAATATTCGTATTTAGAATTCATGCTTATTAAGCTATTTAGAAGTTGCTCAAACGATTATTAATGCCTTCTTGATTCACAAAGTGACTATTGTCGTAAGTCCAAGAGGACGTGTCCTTAATGGCCTGCGACGATCTATGTGCACCTATAGGAAGTTCTCGTTAAGCAGCATCGAATATATAGACTCGAGACATAGTTTAAGAGAAAAGAAATAATTTAAAAAATATAGCTGTTCACATCTTACTAAATATGTTTTTACTAATTATTTCCAAGTATTACTATATAAGGATCTCAAGATCCCATTATGTTTCACTACGAAAGATAAGCTTAAAGTTAAGAAGAAACTTAAAACCTTACGATGCCAATAGACATAAGACATAAGTAAACGCGCAAACATTTTACGTAACAAATTGTTTCCGTTAAAAACTAAATCCGATGTCTACTCGATTAACATGCACATACGTCATTTACCATTTCCTATCACAAACAAGAATCCATCTAAACACACCAAAAAAATCTTCCAAGTCAATTTCCTCTAACACACTTTCCATCTACTATATTTTGTAGAATCACCATTAATTCTCCCATAAAAAGAGCATCTACAAGATTTAGTAAAAACTAGTATCACACTAGCGATGTGCAAGCAAGTTTGTCCGCCATCTTAATCGTGATAGCGACGATCCTCTTTCCGTTGCATCACGCGTTTTTCGTCTGCTTCTTGCACGATGAAATAATCAATACCGCGGAACCAGCGTTACAACTAACTTTATAGCAAGATCGTTCTTGTAAAGTCGTCTCGAGGTTGTTCTGTCGAAAAAATTAGTACGCGTTGGCTGTGCTCACGGAGTATATACACAATTCGCGGAGATCCCGTCGTCCTGCGCGCACACAGCCAACCGGCGCGCGTTAATGTTGGCCTGTGTAAGGGTTCAAGTGTAAGAAAACTGTCTCCGTGTTGAACAGAATATAGGCTTCCCTAATGGCAAGGAGACAGAGGCTGGCGCCGTCTGTCCTGCCACGGAACTTATATCCTGGCAACCCCATAAAGAACAGGATCGTCGACCTACCTCTGCTGCCAGGCCCCAGCAATCCTTTTCAATGGCTAATCTATTCAACCACCTGAGGTTTCATGCCTCGGTATCGAAAAACTGAACGTCGATCGATTCATCGGGTTCCAGCGATAATAGCGCATCGACGCGACGCCAGCAACGTGTTCCGCGTTCCTTGAAATTTCGAGTTTACGGCTGCGCCCTGGAAATTTAGGTCTCCGGGTACTTATGGAAATTTACGTTTTCGGGGCAACGTTTCAGGAACTTGGTTTCTTTATTAAACTTCCCTTCTGAACGTTACGTTATGCGCAGTCTTATTATTGGTTCTATTCGGGAATTTATCTAGTAGACTTTTCAATGTTTCTGGTGAACTTTCCTGTTCTTTTGAAGTGATTCGTGTTAGGATTAGTCGAGGATTTTTGTTAATATTTTAACTGTTTGGCTTATGATACGTCTTAGAGATGGGGTGGTGATTTTAAGTAGAATTTAACGAGCATAAGTATTACGCGATTCTTTTGAATTGAAATTGAATATTACTGTTTTGTTATCTATTGTTATAGTTTATCTACGTTTACTCTAAACTATAACAATTTCATTCTAAACTATAACAATATCAATAGGATATCTGACACCGTCCTCTTTTTTCAGTAAATTATTGATGATAAACTAGTTGCGTCGATTATGGATGAGAAATAAATCATAAGGGATTATTTAGACGCATTTCTAGAAGCGAAATTTGTTTTGTAATAAAGTATGGAGATTATGGCCGAAAGAAAAATAATCTAGTTGGTATTGTAAATCGATTAAAGTGCTCTCATTATGATTACATTATTTAAAAAAATTTGATTTTTCAGAATCGTAACATGTTACAGATGGCATATAATATCGCAAATGAATTTCATTGGAAAATATAAACGTGACGCATCCGCAAACAGAAGATGCTTACTTCAGCAAATATATTTCCTGCGCAGTCGTGACACTTAACTTCGCTATTAAATTCTTTGTAAACAGCGTTACTCTTGAAAATCGATCGGTCCGGATGTGTTCTTAATGCTGCGACTGTACTATGAAGTCTGTAAACATTGTAATTCATTTATGCAATCGATTAGCGTTCCGTTCTATATTCGTCAAGGCTCGTAACATGAAAAGTACCAAAACATGAAAATGTGAGCTTCTACTATCGTGCCATTTCCCGTTTCCCGCGGGTAAAAACATCCGGTGATAAGAGCTCTACGGATCTTTAACCGGCACTGCAATATTTTCCCTCGAATAAAATTTCGAATTTACGTTGCATTAAATTCCGAAATTAAATGGTAAATTAATTACTTTTTAAAGCAAACTACTACTTATTTTTTAAACAAACCAAGTACTTTGTATATTACAATACGTCATGTTATAATAGCAATTATTATGATTTTCTAATATTTCGATCAGATTTCATGAAACAAACTGTTAAAAGAAAATGTTACTTTTAATTACATTTCCAAATCATCGACGAAATTATGAACTACATTTTGGTGCTGCACCTGATAATACACTATAGGAATAGAATAGTAAACATACTCTTTACAGCATTAACAATTAAATTATAACCACCGTCTATAGCTATAGGAAACCATGATTGTATCGTGAACCATAGGGAAGTCCAAGCAAAACATGTTAGAAACCCGATTAATCGGACAATATAGGAGTCGATGTAAAGTTAAATGAACGAAAGAAAACACGGGATGCTAATACTACCAAGCAGGTTCATTGACTTTTTCAAAATTCTCTATAAAATCTCCAAGAGTGCACCTATCGAGACTTGAATTGATTTAAAATTCAGTTTGCGTATTGCTAAATCAATTTCTTCAATAATTTCTCACAGAAACATCCGTCACCTTTTTAATAACTGCAAAACGAAGAAGTTAGAAATGGGTCATTTTGATCCGTTCGACAGTTTCCGTGTTAAATCTGGTCATTTAATCGGGCCTCCGTACGGTCAGTATTAATATAAACCACGTTCATCTATAAAGTGTTCCGAACTATACGCTCGCAAGCTGCGATAAGCGACAAGCGACCAGAACGAAATGGTAAAAACAGTGACAGCGGTTAGTCAGTGCAATTACACCCCCACAAAATCCCCGGTAACCTTTGCACACGGGAAAAGGGTTAATGTTTCGGTCTATTCCGAGCACAAAGGTAAACGCGGTCAATCTAATCGACTGTAAAGGGGCCTTCACATTAAGCGTTGCTCTGTGTCCTTGAAGCTGCATTCGAAATCGTGTCCTGTTTCCGTCGCCTTCGAACGGCCGAGAATCGTTTCTTGAACGAGTACTCCTCTCCGCG